ATTCCATCCTATGACGACTCTTGGTGTGCTCGAACCCTCACAATAGCTTCAGCAGATCAAATTCTCGAAACATCAAATGATTGGGTCTTTGATGTTTTTAGTAAATCCATTCACTTATTAACCTAAATACCCAATATTACTAACCCATTCTATTCTCTCCCACCGCCCCACCCCCACCAGCCTCCGTTTTAATTGCAGCAGCCAATCCCCATTTCCCGCAACCCAACCACCAGCAGCGGCGCGTTTGGGTGTTTTCTTTTCTTTCTTTCCCCTTCCCCCTCCCCCCCCATTACCCCCCACAATTAATTTGGGTGGTAATTGAATCTTGGGAAGTTGATTTGTGATCTCATTTAATAACATGTGAAAGTGCTTATTTGGTGTTCTCTGAGATATGGTCTTAGTTTTAGGGTTTGTTTATTGTTTTTGTTGGCCTTGCCATAGAGATATGGTAGTTAACTAATTTAATTTTAATGGTGATTTGGTTTGTGTTGCTTGGTTAGGGTGGGCTGTGGTGTGAGTGTGATGGAGTGGGTTGGGATCGGGTACGGTGGTGGTGGGATGGTGGCCGTGGGTGCATGCTGGAGGTGGGTGCGGTTTTTGGTTGAGTGGGGTTTCAGCCGCTGATTGTGTGGGTCTCGGGTTTGCAATTTTGGGTTTGGTTTTTTTTTTTTTAATATTTTAAAAAATAAAATACTATTTAAACAGTGTTTTTGTGTGGTTCTTTGTGTAGAAAATTGATGGTAGGATATGGACCGTTAGTAATTCTGGGTTTGAGGTTTTTTTTTTTTTTTTTTTCTTTCTTCTTCTTTTTCTAGAGTCCGAATTTCAGTACTCTGTCATGGTCAAGAGCTACACGTTAAAATGGCTATTTTATCTTTGGTGTATCTTTTGTTATTTTTGAAACCCTCGGGGCAATTTTTTAATTAACTTAAAGCTCAGGGTGGCCAAAAACCCCAAAGATAATATGATATAGGGGTGAAATTTCATGTATCATTCCCGAAAGAAACACGCAAGTTAAAATTCTTTCTTGAGAGTAATTTCGAAACATATGGCGGGACGTATACTGTTGAAGGGTGAAGCCCAAAACGATGTCGTTGGGTACTGCTTACAATATCGTTTCATAAGAGCTTACGTTGAATTTGTCGTTGATTGCTTGCTAAATCTACGGCAGGTTCTTCAACAGTATGAGTATAAGAAGATCCTTTAGTCGAATTTTACAGCCCTTACACTCAGTTTTGCGATTGTATTCTTCTTTGTTAGGGTTTCTGATTCTTGCTTTCTCATAGACTTGTAATCTTGTGCGATTATTATAATCGTGTTTGAGGGGTTGGGTTTCCTTCAAGTTGTGAGAATCTGGGTTAGTATTCTCATATAGGAAAGGTTACGGTGGTCTTTGTGGGGATTACCGAGAGTTAGTGATTCAATTGAGCTTAATCTGATTGTATTTGTAACAAATCTGATCCTTAGTGCAATGAGTCCCAAGTTTACTAAAGTTCAACGTGTGTACTTATTCAATCTGGGAAAGTGAATCACGGTAAAAATTATTGTCTTCTTATTTGTTTTTCAATTTGATGTTTAGGTTTGGGAATCTTGCAATTTACACTACATATACATATATGCTGGTGAAGTGAATTTCAATTCTAGAATATATGTTTTGATATTCAAAATTCAGATGTTAATTTTCCAATAAAAATATATAGTGCCCCAAAGTGCACTTTCTTTTCAAAGTTGTAAAGACATAACAAGCTCCACAACTCAGTTTTCCGTTCTTTGACTTTACTTTCTTACAAAATGGGATAATATCAAAGAACCATTAAACATATATTCATATACAAGTGAAGTGCATGTTTATATCACTTACCACAGAATTACAAATCCCATATCATTAGTGAACAATCTGGAATTCGTTAATGAGGGCTTGAGTCCTCTTTAACATAATGGAAACATGTAATAATTTCAGTCTTATTTTAGCCGTTCGACTTTCGATGTGAATCGTTACTTTAAAGATACATAATCAGCTCCCATAGCAATTAAAGATGAACTTCAAATGGTGAATCATTACCCTCCTTCTACATAAGTAATCAATTTTCACTAGTATTACACAAAGACAGCCATAGTGTACAACAAACAAAAGTAGCTTTTATTTTACTTACACATTCCATTGGCAAAATCAAACACTATCATTATGACATTCCTCCATATTGATTCAGATCCCAGCCATTCTGTTGAAGATTCTGATTGAACCACTCTAATAGAGTTATGCTGAGAAGAAAAAACAGGCTTAGGCGGCATTTGCAAGTTGTTAATGCTCCCCGCTAACATTTCCATAACTTTGATCATTGAGGGACGATCTGACGCTTTCACTTGTATGCACCATAATCCAATGATGCAGAGTTTTCTTGCTATATTAGCTTCAATTTCTGTCACATTCCAAAGTCTCAAATCTCTTCCCTTATTGATTTGGTCATATGTCCCATGATGGGAAGTATGCTTTGCTTGAACGAGCACATATTATCAGAATTCCTCCTTCCTCCAACCATTTCCAACAACAACACCCTTACTTAAACATCTGACTTTTAGAAATGGCTCCAAAACTCCTTGAATTAACTCAGGAGCTATGTACCCTATTGTCCCTCTTGCAACGCTAATGGTTACAAAATCATTTTCTTTGGGGTAGAACTTTGCAAGACCGAAATCCGAGATTTTTGAGTAAAGTTGGTCTAAGAGGATATTTGAGGCTTGATGTCAAAATGAAGAATGCACCATCACATCCCCCATGAAGATATTCTATCCCACGAGCTTTCCTAATGCGATTTCATGTATTCCTCCCAACTAAATGATTCAGTTTCATCTCCTTGATAAGATATGTTTATCAAGGGATCCATTAGGCATATACTCATAGACAAGTGCACGTTTAGAATCCTCAAAACAAAATCCCACCAACTGCACTACATTGACATGGTGAATCCTACCGATTGTAGAGACTTCGTTAATGAATTCTTCAACACTGAACTTGGAATTTTCAAGCATTTTAACAGCAATTAAGAAACCAGTATAAAGTTGTCCTTTATAAACTGATCCAAAACCACCTTGGCCTAGTTTGTCTTTGAAGTTGTTTGTCACTGCAATTAGCTCAGCATAAGAGTACCTCTTGGGCATCCAGGATTGTTGATTCTGCAGGAGTTTTTCCAATTTATCTTCTTTCTTCCACATTGTCCTCCATTTGTGAATAAGGTACACAATTAAAACTACCGCAGAGATTAATCTAAGTATAATAATAACCGCTGCAAGCCAGGAAACGAAAAAGTTATTTCAATGTACTTAGACAACAGTCAGAGAATTAAAAATAGGAATTCCAACATATGTAGAAACCACACAAACAGAAAGCATGCAAGAATAAATCATAAGATTCAAAAAAACTTGAAATTTTGTTATTGTTTTTATTTTGTGTTATGGTGATGGCTTCATACGGTGACGTTTTATCATTAAGTGAGACGATGTCGTGTTGAGCCAAGCAAAGATTAATCCTGTCCGTTGGTTGGCTGAGTATCCAACGGTGGCAAATCAGTCTGATAGTCAACAATATAAAAGCATTGCAATAGTCTCTTCTCAACAGTTGAACCCTTTTCGTGTTTTCTCTTTTTCTCTATAAAACAAATAGCCTCCTTTAGGGTTTGGGTATTGTCTTGATCGTGAATCTTGTAACAGGGTGTTCAAGTGGCTGGTTTGCAGGCTACTTGAGGGTACTAGAGTTTGCAGTGTATCTTGGGTGTTAGAGCTGTTTCTCTAGGGTGTTACGGGTTCTGGAAAGATCTGTGTAAGGGTTTGATTCTTGGTCGAGTTGTGTTCTACAATCTTGATCAATATAGTGCAGCGAGCTCGCTGGTTTCCCGAGCTCAACGTGGACGTAGCTTGCTCATATCCTAGCAAGTGAACCACGGTAAATCTTGGTGTTGTGTGTGTGAATCTTTTTGTGATTTTGTGTTTGCTTTCTGGTTGATCTGTTGCGAGTAGGTATAACATTTTGATTCAAAAAGAATGTATCATTTTTTATCAGCTTAAATCCAAATTCCAAAACCAATATTTGATTTTGCAATTTAGAGAGAGAAGAGATCAAAAAAGAGATTTGAAATTAAAATTACAAATTTTTTAGAAATTTACAGGGCCTGTTGATTTCAGTAGGTGTAATTTTGTTAATTTATAAGGTTTGTAAAATTATGTTCAAATGTCAGGCACGACGATATATGGAGGGGCCTCTTGATGAAACACTCCTTTACACTCTCAAGTTTATGTTAATTGTGTTAATAACCTCACAGTAATTAAATAAAACTTTATTTAAAATTCTACAGACATATTTGTAAATAAGACAAGAATTCCAGGTATGAAATTATACCGGATATGATCATCGCAAGATATAGTGAAAGACCCATTAGCCAGTAAACAACATAAGGATAATCTGCAAAAAGGGTGAAAGAGAAAAAAATTATGGTAGAGTTATATGCAGCGACATATGGGCGAGATATTAAATCCTGAGGAAAAAAAAACATTGCAATTACATATGGGAGAGATTTAAAAATCTTAATCAATCAAAAGTCATCAAACCATCAAATCATGTGTAGAAAGATAAGCTCAATTATTACCATATTTGTAGCAGTATTCACCATAGGAAGAGCAGTATAGACCAGCTGCAATGCAATCCTTGCATTTAACTGACCATCTGAGATTAAAACCCGATTTCAGCAACTGCAGGATGGCTTCATAAGAAGGATTTTCCCCATCTGCTTCTAGTATAGGAACCTTTGAAATGAACGAGCAGTAGAATGACTTTGGAAGATCATAAACTGCTTTAAAGTAGCCACCATAATTGACATAAACATTATAAGACTGATCACTAAGACAAGGAAGTCTTCTATAAGCCGAATCACTGATATTTTTAGAGCAATTTAAGAATCTAGCATATGAATGTTCATCGTAAGAAGGATTAAAAAAATAAAAGCTGTTACGATAGAATGCATATGTTGACACAGACTTGTAGGGAAGGCTGCAGCTTCCATTGGCTAAGTTAATATCAACGACACTGATTATACGTTCATCGTAAGAAATTCTCGTCACATAGTACTTTCCTGAATGCAATTCTAGGATAGTTTTGTTGCTCTGGCAAGAAAGTTCGAAGTCACGATCACCACATCCTACTGGATCGGTCTTTAGGCGAAAAGGGTAGCTTATGTTTGTGACGTCTCCACATGAAGAAGAGCATGCTTGTGGAAGTTTATCTGCTTGTATTTCACTGATGAAGAGAAAGATCAACAAAGAAAATAGGAAATTTGAAAGAGCTGATGGCTCTTCGCTCTTCATGATTCCTCCTCTTCTGAGATTTGAAAAAACAAATATTAATCGGAAGCTTGCGTGCATTATGGTTATGACAAAACTAGATGGACGACTTAAAGACTTAGAAATTATCTTTTTCTATACATTATGCTTCATGTTAGTCAATGGTAAGAAATTTCTTCCAACAAAGACTTAACTAAAAAATGACCTACAGATCAAGGTGGTCAGCCAAATATAAAGTTAACTTTACCAAAAAAAAATTTTTTAAAAAAAAAAAAGAAAAGGTAATTGATGAACGAAATAGAGACAACAACAGGAACAAAATATAATAGTAAAACAAAACAAACAGTAAACAAAGAAAATAATACGCGCGATTTACCCTGGGTCACCTAAAGTGGGCTACGTCCAACTGAGTCAATATTATTGCAATATGCCTCACCTCTCTCGTTTACAATGAATGAATTGCTCTCACACTTATAACAAGAGAAAAGTATGATTATATACTAGGTTTAAGAGATTAAACCTAGTTTTACAAGGATTCCTATTCCTAAACCCAACCCAAAAAGGAATTAGTAACTTAAAAGAAATCCTACAGCGGTTATACATGGAAAAGCCCAAAACTGCCTACGGGCTCGGGGGCAGCCCGCCCGCTCACTCCCCGGGGCACCCCCCAACTGACCGGTCAGTGGGACCCCCGAGTGCGTCTCCGTTACCCATTAATCCTGAAGTAGTCAACAACTCCAACAATTGATAATTAATTAAAAGTTATAAATTAAACCATAAAACGTCATGTGTACAAGAAGGTTATGTATCACAGAGCCATCAAAGCTTATTAAGTCAACCAGTACCTATAGAGTTGACCTGATTTGGACATTAAATTAATAGTGAGTTTGTCGTCTATTTTACTTAAAGTCTATAAAAATGGCCATTGTGGTCCTGAAACTAAATACAAAGAATATAACACGTCAGGCCCTATTAAACTTCCTCTCAGCACACCAGATTGGAACATTACTTAATATTTGATAGGAACCCCGAATTCTACTAGAATTTAGCTTAGATTTCCAAAACCAAAACACAAGACAGATGAAAGAAAACTTCTATACATTGTATTGATCTGAATTTAAGAATGGAAATATCAGTAGGTTCATGAACAAGCAAGTAAAATTTAAAACAAACTGATAACACTAGCAATTCGAGGTGCTAGGAGCCTCCCACAATAATCCCACAACAAATATTCACTAGTATATCAAATTGTATCCATTTCAGCATCGGAAGAAATAAAGGGCTTTGGAGGCATTTCTAAGCTTTCTATATCACCTTCAAGCATCTGTATTACTATTGGCATTGAAGGCCTTTCTGTTGGATTCCATTGAATGCACCAAAGTGCCACAATTGAAAGCTTCTTGGCAATTTCTTCATCTCCATCTGCCTCAATTTCTAAAGCAAATTCTTTGCCTTGACTCACTTTGTTATATATCCACTCGGGAAAATAAATTTGGCTTTGATTCTCAATGGAAAGATCAATATTTTTCCGACATCCAACCATCTCTAACAACATCATTCCATATCTAAATACATCGGACTTGTAAGAAACTTCTCCAAAGTTCCTGGAGAACAACTCGGGTGTTGTATATCCTGGAGTTCCTCTAGCCGCGGTCATGGATATGATACTTTGATCCTTAGAGCATAGCTTAGCAAGCCCAAAATCTGAAATTTTCGGGCGAAGATTATGGTCTAGTAAAATATTGTGAGGCTTAATGTCAAAGTGAAGGATCCTCTGATTGCATCCTTGGTGAAGGTACTCTATTCCACGTGCAACACACCTATTGCAATCGTTTGTAGCTTCTCCCAATTCAATAGACGATGAGTTGATTCACTAATCTTTGAGAAGATAAACTTCTCAAGAGATCCATTTGGCATGAACCCATAAATAAGCGCGCGACGTGTCCCTTCTGAGCAAAATCCCAAAAGACGAACAATGTTAAAATGGTGTATCCTACCGATGGTAGCCACTTCATTGATAAATTCTTCCCCATTTCCTTTTGAATTTTCTAACATCTTAACAGCAACGGGAATTCCATTAGAAAGTTTTCCTCTAAAGACACTTCCATAGCCACCTTGACCAAGTCTGTGCTTAAATTTACTGGTTATCTTCTTAAGCTCACTGTAAGTATATCGAGTTGGATTGAGGGTCCTGTAGTCTTCCAGGAACTTCTCTACCTTTACTTGAATTTCCTTTTCCTGCTCAGATTTCCGAGATCTATAAACAAGAAATATCACCAATGCAAAAACAACAAGGCCTCCAATACAGGTGGATGTGGATACTGCAATTTTAACTCCAGGACCCCGAGGATCTGCATTTCAAAAGAAAAAAATAAAAATAAAAAAATAAGCTCAGATTACAAATGATTTGATGGTTGCTCGATCCACAGAGTATAACAAAGAAATGAATTCAGATTTTAGATGAAAAAAGAGGCTGAAATAAATTAAAGATAACAGAGTATATCAGAAAACAGAGAGCTCTGTCCCACGTGGTTCTTTCAAACAGACTGTTGAATTGCTTGTAATGTTGAAACAACAGATATCCCCTAATTTCTCGCAGCCTTGGCATCCATATTCAAAGTCTTTCCATTCTAAGCCGACTTCTGGTGTGCTCGAATCCCTCATGAGAGCTTTCAGCAGATCAAAATCAGTAACATTAAATGATTTGTATGTTGTGCAAGCTGAAGGTAGCTCATCGATGTATGTATCAGAATCTATGACATAAACAATTTTTTTATCACCACTGACACACTCAATCGGTCCAATAGCCCCATATAAATCAACAGTCTCAGTGCAGTTCACTAAAATTGTTATGCCTGGGAAAATAAAGAGTTGACGTGGGAAAGTCACGTGAAGGGTGACCTGCTCCCGTCAGAGCAACACGCACACGTCAGACCTGCCAAATGATATGGAGCTCACACGCGTCCATTTCCCTGCAATAAGTCGTGCGAAGTCAGCTTGGGAAAGGGAAAATGGGACATAAAGCCGGATTATATCCTGACAATCACACCAACCCATGGATTTAATGATGATTATACGCTTCAGTTTGATATAAAATGAGGAAGACCCCTTCATTAAGGGGATTCGGCCATTTTCATACTGAGAAAAACTCTTTCTCTCTCCTGTAAACACATTTACTTTTTCCAACTCTTTTGTAAGTCAGTTCGCAGTTGCGACCTGACCCACGCTAATATCAATACAAATCAGTGGACGTAGGACTTGCTACCTTAGCATCCGTGAAAGATTCAGCATGCATGAAGAGTGGTGGAGATGGAGAATGAAAGCATGAAAGCATGGATTAAAAAAAACGGTTTACATGCAAAGCTTGGATATGAGATTATACCTACTCCTTTGCTTTGGATTGATGAAGATTAGCTTCAAAAGGATGAAACCTCCACACTTTAACACCACCTTGAGAGGATTAGAGAGTGGCCTTGGCTAGGGAGAGAGAGCTTTTAGTTTGTGTTTGAGTGAACAAGTGAATAATGAACAAAAATGCAACCTTTTGCACTTATATATACTTGGGCTATTTTGCAATTATTTATTTTTCACTTCCAAGCCCAATAAAATCTTATTTTATAAAGGGACCCCACGAATTTAATATGCTACCCTTTGAATAATCAATATTATTCAAGGGCCCATGTAAACTAAACTAGTTTACATTAACAACCCATAAATTTACCCTTTTTACCCTTTAACTATTAAAAGGTTATTTTTGTTCATCTCATTAATCTTAACACTTTAAGATATAATAATTAAATATAATTAATTATTGCTTGACCATTTTAACCCTTAAAATGTCACAAATTGTTTTCTATGTAACTATTACTATAGAAATCCCGTTATTACCCTCGGAAGGTGCTAGCCCTCTTCGGATAATCATTTCTCTCTCTCATCNAGTGTCCACATTCAAAAAGCAAAAGCTACCAGCATCAACACAATTCTTGCACTCAACTGACTAGTGAAGTTCAAAGCCTGCTTCAAGCAACTTCCTGATGGTTTCGTAAGAAGAAAACTGTGCATCTGTACGAAGGATAGGAATCACTGTAATGAAATAGCATAAGTCTGGCAGTTCAGATAAACTTCTACCCCCATAATTGACATAAATTTGAGATTGATTTGTACTCAAACAAGGAACTCTTTGATAATTCGAATCGCTGATATTGCCGGAGCAGTTCATATAATTGGCATAGGTGTATCCATCAGGTACTTGGAATCCTTTAAAGCCATTATGATAGTCGAATATATTTCTGAAAATTCCTTGTGGCAGAAATTTGTTTGGAAGGCTGCAGCTTCCATTGGCTAAGTTAACATCAACAACACTGATCACCTGATCATTGTAGTGAATTCTCTTCACGTAATACTGCCCTGAATAGACCTGCAGGATGGTTTTGTTGTTCTGACAGGAAAGTTCATAGTCTAGATGGCCACAACCGACTGGATCGCCCTTCAGGCGAAAAGGGTAGCTTATGTTTTTGATGTCTCCACATGAAGAAGAACATGCTTGTACAAGTTTTCTCGCTTGTATTTCAGTAATGAACAGAAAGATCAACAAAGAAAACAGAATAGTTGAGAAAGTTGATGATTCTTCCCTTTTCATGGTTCCTGCTAATACTTTTAATTTCAATAAATTGGAGAAATGCAATATGCTTTTGCGACAGTGTACCGCACCGCCATATTTGAATAGGAAATGGATGACACAGAGTAGGTGGAAGACTTTGACTTTTGAGGTTGCAGAAAACATAAGTAATACTACAACCCACTCAGTCCTGGAAATTAGAATTCCTAACTCTGTCCATTGACAGTGTTTTATTGTCGAAAGGGTCATCACGGTCGCAAAATAAATCTTAATTATCGTAGTTAGTGGCAAGTAGAGTGGAATAGAAGCTTCCCTTTACAGGATTCTTTTCAGGATTTTCAGCCTGAATAGAAGCTCCCATACATGAATGCAGGCCCAAAACTTTATACAATAACAAAGTTTTTCATTATGGGCTAGGATTAAATGGCCCTTTAGTTTTTGGGGAAAAGTCTTCTTACTGATATTAAGCCGATGACATATGAATAATTAATGTGTACATATATATTCAGTTTAACATCATCAATGGAATTAACTATTGAGCTAAATGAGAGAAAAGAATATTATACATATTAGAAATTCTATTATACCAAAAAAATAAATATAGATTTACATGGGATATATAATACTTTACTAGGCCCCAAAAAGGCCTTACAACAGATAACCATAAGAGAAAACCAAGAAGGGAAGGCATGCTAACCCTTTGATAAAAATTAAAGGTTTAGAGTTTAAGGTTTTTTCATCAACCGATATTGACATTAACTTGATCGTTGGAGTCTACGCCAATAAAACCCCAACTGACTTCCTTCTAACTATTCCTCTATTTTATAGGTATTGTAGTGTAAACAAATACATTGCCTTATCTCATATTTGAATATCATCATAAACTTTCTCCATAACATTCCTCAAAAGTCAAAACCAACTTTTATATTCAATATATGAAAGAAACTTGAGCCAAATCTTAAAATGAAGTTGAATGAAACTTATCCAATGAAAGAAAAAAAAAAAAAAAATTGTCCACATTTATGTTATGTGTACATTGTGCCATTATTAACTAATAAATATTATATTAATACAGAATTATGATATGAACAGATGATTAATATTTAAATTGGCTAAAGGGAGCTTGATGTTATGATTTTGCTGACAGAAGATAGAGAGCACATAGATAAAATGCGATGAAGCAATATTGCATATTAAGCCTTTGTGCTCTCTATGTTCTGTGAACATAATTAGCCTCTCAAAAATCCTGGTACTATTTCTATGACTCATTTCATTTCAACTTTAAATTTTTTCATGTAAATCATTCTCTGCATATTTTATCATTTCATTTCACAAAGCAACCCTTATGGCTTGAGAGAAGCATTTATAGTTTCCAACTCAAGGGATTTGAAAAAATGTTGGGCTTGATGTTGACGACTGACCCAAAGTCGTTGGTTTTGGGCTGTGAGCCCATTTTTTTTAATAGAGCTCATCCTGAATCCCGAAAGAAAAATAGTGGATCAAACTTGCTTCCATAATGTAACACAAATATAACCCTTCACAAGTAGAATCTCTAAAATTCTCATTTCTGATCATATGTTTTACATGTGACATTGACGTGTAACGATGAGTGATGGTGATTATTTTTAAAAAAAATTCACGTTAGGTTCAAGTCATTGCAATGATTAATAATTTTTCATTCCATTAGCCTACAAGGTGATAAATCGTCATTTAATCTTCAACGCTATAACAGAAGATGAAATACAAGGCTTGTGGGGTAATGTCAAACCAGTCGTTACGGTCACAAAATTAATCCTAAATACCATAGTTAGCGGTAAGTAGGGTCGAATCCACAGAGAGCAAGACTAACAATCTAATGAATATTTGAGTTAACGAAAGAGAAATTGACAAATTGATTGATTAAAACTAAGGAAACTAATTAATTGCAGGAAATTAAAAGCATCAAATAAATTGCTAACTAAAGCACAATATTAAAGACGTTGCCACTACGGGTTCGGTTTGACTCAAGACCAACTCTCACAATTCCTCTCCTTGCTCTTCAATTTCCTAAGCCTACAAGGCTAGGAAAATCAATAAAAATATCTCCCGGCAATCTAGGTATAATCTATCATGTCTTCCCGTCGTCTTAGTTACAGATCGATTAGTTAAAGACTATCGTTGACTAACCGAAAAATGTTAAACCCTTAAACACCACTAGTTGGTACAACGTTAACAAGTACAACCTATCAACTTGTATTATCCAATCAACTAATTACACAACAAATGCATTCCTAGTAGAAATGATATTAAATGCTAATACAACTTGATTGCAATCAGTACCGAAGCAGTTTAAAGTCATAATCAACATTCAATAATCTCAAACCGACATTCAATTATGCAAAAAGTTATAAATCAACAAAAATTCTCAATGGACATTATCAATTTAACACGTCGAACATCAGAATGATATTAAAGCATCGCAAACAAACTGAAACGAAAACAAATATAATCTGAATACAAGAAACTTAACAAAATATCCAACATTCGGGCCATCCAACTAGTCGAGAACTACCGAGAAAATCCATGACTGTCGATCCTGATCTCCTTACACCGTAACAGGCAACTAGGAGCTCAGCCACTCATGGTGGTGTCGACGAAGGCTGCAACGTCGAGAACGGAGCCGTCATGGCAAAGAGGACGTAACCGACAATGAGATGATGTAAAGAAGGAGCGAAAATGACCAACGGATAGCTCGGAATACGAACAGTCGCACTTGTCGGAATATGTTAGTTTTCTGACAGATCTTCCGGCAAATGGTGGCAGAAATAGGATCCAAAGGTACCGATGGAAAGCTCCGGTGATGGGGAGTTCGGATCCGGTCTTGGGGAGATGAAAGATCGTCAGAAAGTGAGCGAAATTGTGCCAGGAATTCAAAGAGGCGCGACGGCTATATGGCGACTGAACGACGACGATTTGGAGAGATGGAAAGTACATCTAACCGTGGGAAGGGTGGCCGGCACCAGGAGAAGCTAGATCGACGCCGAAGAAGCTCAAAGGTCATCGGAAAATGAAGAGAGGTAATGGTGGAGGCGTAACGACGCCGGCGTGGCTCTTGTTTGCGACCTTTCGCTTCACTTTTATATAAAATGTGGCAAATATCCATTTGGTCCCTACATATTGAAAAATGACAAAATCAACCCTAAGTTTTATGACAATTTGACCCCTGAATGGCATAAATGAGACAACATCAACCCTAAAAAATAAATCACATCCTAATATCAACTTACACAATCTCAAATTTCAATCCAAACATGTCAAATTAGTAAGAAAAACTCAAAATATGATTTTTATACATAAATTTATAATTTCTCTTAATTATCTCAATATGATTTCATTTTAATCACACATAGGATCTTTTTATCACCAAAATAGAGTCACTTTTATGCCTTTAACAGGTAATAGGGTTGCAGAACTTAAGGGCAACTAGACAGAGACAAAAAAAAAAAAAAAAAGTTACTATCTAATTATCAGGAAGACAGAGTAATAGTAACAAACCCCAATATGAAATTGAAGTTAAAGAAAGTTCGTTTTTCATAAGATTGATATTTTTTTGTCAAAAACCGTTATCGAAATAGAGACTTTGGAAGATAAAGGAAAGCACAATTTCAAGTTATGAATCAACAAGACAAACAAGAGATGGGAGTTATCTAGCTCTGGTAGGTGAACAATAAAATATCCATTGTTGCCAATATCACAAGGTAGAGTGACATGTTCAGATGATGATGATAAAAGTGTCAAAGTCTAAGAAGGGACAACATATTTAATTTGGTAAGATGAAATTACTTGTACATATTAACAAAGTTTATAATTAGCTGCATCAAAACTGTCCTGAAAGCAACTGACAGCAACACTCTAAATCAATGAACCCATTTTGTGTTTAGACTACATGTGCCAATGAAAATACACCTTTCTATTTCTTGGGTCACCCAAAAAAAAAAAAAAAAAAAAATTTATTAAATCAAAATTTTTTAAATAAAATAAGATTTGGAATTACATTTATGGTCATGGAATGTATATTAACATATGATACTTTTGCACTTTGCCAGTTTTAGGGAAGGTCAATTTTGGTAGAATTTGGATAAACCCCGAATGATTTATTGAGATAGGATTACTTTTGCACTTTTTACAAATATATTATGAGTTTATTTCATCACTTTTGGCACTTTTATGTAAATATTTATTTTGTAATAATAATAACAATAATAATTTAATTTCTCTTATTCTAATATTTTAAATTTTTAAACCTAAATAAAAAGCATATAATTATTATAAAAAGAGTGTTTATACAAGAGAACCCACTTATTATAAACACTAAAAAAGTGATAAATTTACAACAAAAACAAAAAAAAAACAAAAAAAAAACCCAAAATTAAAACTAAAATTCCTAAAAAAGAAAGAAAAAAAATACCTCTAAAAATTAAAAATTAAAAGAGAAAGTTTATGGTCAAAACAGCCAGGCGCCAGCAACCCTCTAAAAATTACTTATAAAAATTACGGAAAAATATTTTCTTCGATCATCACCATCAGCATCATCCATGATGCACATGCACACCACAAAATCAATCTAATCTCACCGACGCAAGGGGGAGGAGAGCCACTCAACAAAATCCTCCGTCACGCGCGTGCGCGTGCCCACACGCTCTGGTTCGAGGGAGCGGAACCGAGCGGCGATCTGCACTCTGCAGAGAGGGCAATTGAAATTCCGCACACGCTCTGTCTCACATGGTTGTTTCAGACAGATTGTTGAATTGCTTGTAATGTTGAAACGACGGAAATCCCCTTATTTCTCGCGGCCTTGGCATCCATATTCAAAATCATTCCACCTTAGCGTGATAGTTTTCTGCAGATCAAATTCAGTCGAAACATCAAATGAGCGCATCCATCGATTTATCAGAATCTATTACATAAACATAAATTTTATCACAACTTACACACTGAATCGGTCCAGTAGCCGATCAAAAAGGGAAGCAAATCGATCATCT